AAAAAAGCTAAAGTGGATAAAGAGAAATACTTTTAACTGATGGTATGTGGAGACTATAATCAATGTAATGAAACAAGTTATATGAAGTGTTGAATGTGAAACTGATGATGGGCCCTGTAAACTTTCACTCCATCCACAATAAAACCTTAAATTAAAAAACAAAAACAAAACAAAACAAAAAACCCTACGGAGTGCAGTTCTACTCTGATTCATGTGTGGTTGTCCTGAGAGTCAACTTTTCCATGTTTGTGTGTTTTCATATGTGTGAAAGGGCTCCTGAGTGATGCCAGCAGTGGGCAGGAGAAGCAGCTTTTCTCTCAGAGCACTCAAGAGAAATCAGTATGTCTGAGACCTCTAGAACTCTGAGAAAGTAAGTTCCCATTCTTTATAGTCACCCACTTCACATTATTTTGTTTGGGCAGCCCTTAAGGAAACTAAGACAGGCCCCCACCAGGAAATAAAGCGGCTTCTCTCTCCAGCGTGGTGAGGGGGCATCACCCAAGAAACCCCCAGTACTGACCTGGTCATGAAACTATGAGCATCTTTGGGCAGCTGAGGATCTGCTTTCATTCTGGTTAAGTGGGTTGGAAAAGTAATTCTTTCTATCAAAGCTACAGATCCCCATCGTTAATGCGTGTAACAGGACTAGAGACCAGCCCCATGATCAGGCCCCTTCTTTCTGTCCAGTGGCCCCAATTTCAACATTCCCCCCACAGAGTACACAACACTTTAAAGATCAACACTTTATTTTCTCTAGCTCCAGTGTTACAACTGTAGCAGCAGGTCAGAAATAAACTCCCCATATATAAACACACATTTCTCCCATTCTTCAAAGAGCTGGCGAAAATCCAGAGGCAGAACAATGAGATTTACTATAAGCACATAAGCACTGAAGAAATGACACTCGCTCACTAGTCTCATACATTGTGCATCTTGCAGACAGAAAGCAGCAGTACACTTGTATTTCATAGGCACAACCATCCTTAAATAAAGTTAAAGTTAAATAAAATCTTATTGGCATAACAATGTATTGGAGATGCAGCCATCAGGGAATTCTGGAGGGTAGCACTTAGAATAAAATACCAGCTTTAATAAAAGAAACAGAAACCACACATAGGATGTAGGTTAGTAGATAGCTCAATTCAATCCAAAGTTAAAAATATTGAAAGTCATGATCTGAAGATCCACGTCAGTTGAAAAAAATCTAAAATGAACAGAAAACTGATCTATAAGTGATTGACCTTAAATCACAGTCCAAGAATAGCATGCACACACACACACAAACACACACACAATTAAAAGGAGTACTGTACTCATGAAGATGGCACAAGACCAGGCAATGTTTCATTCTGTTATGCATAGGCTCAACCATGAGCCAAACAAAACAGCTCTACTCATATGGCATTGCTTGGCTGCAGGTGTCACTCACAAGACAATAAAAACCAAGTAAATGTCATGAATGTATTAAGATAGTCACTGTCAGGGGAGAGGGAGAGCACTTTCCTGTTTAGCACCTCACAATGTTAAAATCACAATCAACAATCAGACTGCAGTCTGCAGGAGACAACAAAACAAACTTCGAAGCTAAGGTGAAGAGTGGACAATTCATTCCAAAAAAAATAGTGACCATTCATACCAGGGAGGTTCAGAAAATTTTTGGAAAAATGGAATGAAAAACTAATGGAATTTTCCCACAAACTTTCTGGAGCCCCCACATATCTGTTTAGTGCTTCACAACTTTCAGAGCATCTTTCGATACAATACTCATTCACTGTGTGCATCCAGTAGGCAGGCAGGATAGTGGTGTCACCCCTCTTCCACAAACGAGTCCCTCACCACACAGGGAGAGGAAAGCCATGATCAGACCTTCGGACTCCCAGTCCACATAACTCTGAAATCCAGTTACAGCTTCCCCTTCTTGTTTCCCCCTCCTGAACGTAGCTATCCTGTAAGAGTGATCATTTTTTAGATATTACCTCAAGCAAAAAACCTGTAGCAAAGAAAATTTTGCAAGGAGGGTAGCATTTTTTTCACATTTAAAGAGGCAAAATGTGGAGTTGGGAAAATCTTTTTGATCTAGCTTTTTCCTCAATTCCCCAAATTTAACACTAGTCTACGACATGTTTGAAGGACAAGTATCAACTACTTTTAGCAGCAATGTGGTGTCTAAGGGGTTTTTGCATCTCAGAGTGGGGTAGACCTGCAGCAACTGGTTTCCACTAGGGCATGACCCCAGGGTGGGGCAGGTCAGCAACCAAGGCCTACTCATGAGGGCACATGTGGGAGGTCTCCCTGGTGGTGACACTCTCCTGTCCCTGATCTGAAAAAGGAAATCAATAGACTGTTTTTTTTAAAATAAAAGTTCTCATCAGTATTAGAAACAAAAACAACTCCAGGAGATGCTGTGTGCATGATCCCAAGACAAAAGCTCTCCAAGTGCAGCCCGAGCTTTTCCCTGGAAACACTATCCACCAAAAGGTTCTCCAGGCCTGAGACTCAGCAAGATGCACAGCTTTGGCAAAGCCTACGGAGGAAGGCCCTGAACAGCATGAACTCCCCCCAACTCAGGCCTGCCAAAATGATAACAAACACGTTCCTCTTGCTCATTTGTAAAGACAGGCTTTGCTGAGGGCTCATACAGGAAACAAGTTGTTCAGTCTTCACATAGTGGTCTGGCTGCAAATCAAATGACACAACTATAGGAAACAGGTCTGTATTTTCTTTTAGGGATCATCTGACTTGGGACACACCACTTCAGAAAACAAGGCAGATATGTTTTATGTTCTTAGATGGCATGGGCCTAACAAAGGATGAAGACTGGCTTCAAAGGGCATCCTTTTCCATGAGGGTCTGAGTCAGGCTTTCACAACTAGGCCCAGCTAAAGGGTCTGCAGGCTTCTGCCACTATATAGGTGAGAGGCTCTGTGAGGGGGAAGAATTACCAGGACAGAGCAGGAAGGCAAACACATGTCATACTTATCCTATGTTTCACAAACCCCTAAACTGTACAGGGGGAGCATGGTTGCTCTATAGGTTGGGCCCAGAACTACTAACCACAAGGTTGGCCGTTTAAGCCCATCAGCCACTCTACAGCAGAAAAAATGAGGCTTTCTGCTTCTGCCAAGATTTACAGTCTCAGAAACCTCACACAAGGTTGTGATGATTCAGAGCTGACTCCACTGCACTTAACAAAATCTTACAGGAAAACACAGGAGGCAATTTAGTCAAAACACAGACAAGGATGTCTTGAGTACCTCTGTTCAAAAGTTGATGCAGAATTAAATCTAAGAGTAAACAGGATTGATCCCAATTACCTGCACAAGTAGCCAAAGCATCAGATTTCAAGGTCTTAGTGCGGCCCCACGGAGACATGGGTTCATATCATTCATAAACAATGGAAGGAGATGGGTTTTGCAGGCTCAAGATTAGTAACAATAATGCCACTGGAGGCCACTGTCTCACAGCATTAGAGGGATTCTGCCACCCGGCATGTGTACATGTATGAATACAGGCAGAATACTCCAAGGCGAATCTTTGGTCTTGGTTTTTTTAGGGAAGACAAAGGGGAAAGGCACATGAAGGTGTGTGATAATAAAAAGTAAACTAAGCCCATTGCCACCGAGTTGATTTCAACTCCGAGCGACCCTACAGGATAGTAGAACTGCCCCATAAGGTTTCCAAGGCTGTAATCTTAACAGAAGCAGACTGCTGCATCTTTTTCTCACGGAGTGGCTGGCTGGTGGGCTCGAACCAGCAACTTTTTGGTTAGCAGCTGAGCACTTAACCACTGCAGCCCCCAGGGCTCCTTAATTAAATAAAAGGGGAGGGCATAAGAGACATAGCTGGAAGTAATATGTCATCAGGTTGGTGTTTTTTAAACGTACCATTATTTCTTTCATGAAAAGAGAAATTCAAAATATAAACTTAATATTTATTATTTTACATTCAAGTGAAACTTTCATCTGCAGGCTAGACACAATTTCAGGCCACCTTCACCAATTTAATCCAGTTACTCTGGTGCCTTGTTAACCTGATGGAAGAATTTAACCCTCTACTGATATTAAAAAAAAAAAAAAAAAAAGCCGTAAATTCGCAGCTGTAATACTCTTAGTACACACACACACCCACACCCACACAAATTCAAAAACTTCTACATAGAAAAATAAAGGATAAACATTATCCATCTATTTTATACTGTGTTCCGGAACTTTTATATACATAAAATTTGTCTTGAATGTTTTCAGTCACTGCACACTGTCTTCCCTCCTCTGTGAGCTAAGATTCTTGGGAGGAGATTGCAACAGCGAAGCAGGAAAGCTACATGCCTCAGGGAGGAAGAGAAAAGTGCAGCTTCTTCTCCCCTTCTGCTTTCTCTCCCTAACAACCACCCCATTTTCAGAGCTCCCTGCAGACGGCCTCTAGAAGGCCACCATCCCATCCCCCCCACTTCCTAAACTTTCAGGAAACACAGGGCCCCCACAGTGAACACCCTGCAAAAGGGCGGGAGGACAAGAGAATGAAGCAGGCAGGGAAAGCCTTGGAAAAATAAAAGATTCTGGAATCACTTCCTACTGTCTGTTCCTTTAGTATGGAGTTCGATTTTCCAGCTTGTGCTTTGTGAGGAAGTACTTGAAAAATTCATAGATGGACCAAGAGATGGCTGTGGATGGCATCTGGTAGATGACACGTGCCTGTACGCCTTTGAAGTAGCCAGGCAAGCCGTTGAGTTGGTACACTGTCCGGAAAGCATTGGCCATGCCCGACAGGCGACCGCTGACGTTGGCCAGGGAGAGAGCCATGTGTTCCTGAGTGTTAAGGAGGGTCTTACAGACATCCAGGGGAGTGGTGGCAGCTGCAGCAATGGCCCCAGCCAGCCCGCCCGAGATAATGTGGGACTGCGGGTTGTACTCTCGGTGAGGGTTGACCTGCTCCTGAAGGAATTCGTAGGTGATGAAGTGGATGGACTGGAAGGGAATGTTCATGGTCAGCTGTGTGGTGTAACTCCGGTAGAAGGCCCCCAAGCCCTCAGTCCTCCATACTGTCCGGATGCAGCTGAGGGCCGACTGGTATGGCGAGTTGTACATCTGCATGCGTTGCTTCACAACTGTTGTCAGGCCGTACAGGAATCCAGACAGGCAGCAGGTGGTCAGATGGTTGGGTTTGGCCCCACCCCATGTCAGGGTAAAATGAGAAGCCAAGCCATAAAGAGAAACAGCAAGTTAGACACACTGGTAATGGCCCCAAAGAGCTAGCACACAACACAGCCTCAGTATGAGAAACCACTAAGGGCTGGTGCCAGGAAACCCCATTTAAAAATGTGTCTTGTGAACTTGGCCAGTAAAGTAGCCTATTTCACTAAGTTAGTCCTGCTTGGACCCTGTTGAAGGTGGCCCAGAAACCTGGCAGCCATTTCAGGCTGGATTGGCTGGCCCTATCTCTCAGATTCAAAGGCAGTTGCAGGCCCCTCGGTCCTCCTCCAACCCTAACATGTCTATTGGGCTCCTTTCTCTCCACTTAAATTTTCGTGTTCTGTACCTCTGATCGTTTTTAGCTTTGTGTCACAGTACTCTTAGAGGAGAATTATGTTTGCCCAGGAGTTCAACAACAAACTCCAATGAAGATGGTTATTTTAAGACAAAAGCAACTTGTAAAACACACACAAGAGGCAGGACAGGGCTAATTGTGGTCCCTCAGGTTTAATGGTCTCTTCCCATTGACAAATGTATACATACCATGTGGTTTTTTTTTTTTCACTTTTAAAGAATGAACATTACCTCACTAATAATGACTAGGAAGGGGTTGGGGAAGAAAGGAGAGAAGGGTTGATTTGAGCCTGACTTTCCACTCCTTAAAAACTCTGTGGGTTAACTAGCCACCCACCCTATATGAATTGTCTTTTTAAAAAAAACACCACTTAAGATATGTAATAATCGAGTCTTCAATTGTATCCATTTGGAACGATTCCCTACCGAGAGTCCTGGTTTGGTGCTGCAGGATAAGCACAGGACTGCAAGGTCAGTTTGAACCACAAAGTCAGCAGTTCAAATTCACCAGCTGCTGCTTGGAAACCCCTGTACTGGGTGGCTCTGAGTGAAAACTGACTCTATGGCACTTAGTAACAACAGGACTACCTACAGTACCCTCCCCCCTGCCTACTTAAGAACACCTCTAACCAGTTTAAATTTTTTTTAGAATAATCTTTCCCAGTCCCAAAGGATGCTCTTGAACACCTTATTACAGGACAAGCCAAGGCGATCCATGAAGACAGGTAAGTCTGTCTAAAGACCTTACATCTTTTCAGAAAGATGATATGTGTTAAGATAAAACACTTTCTAAATAAAAACTGAAAAGATAATATAAGTCCCTATTGCATATCTCACCATGCACATCTTGGTACACCCTCAGCCCCACAGAGAAAAGAATTCCCCATTCCCCTCCTCCCAACAGGACCATCCCTGAAGGTCAGAACATGTCCTTTGACTGCTAAGACATGGGGAGGCAGCATCGATATTTTTTTAAAGACAAAAAAGGCATACTTAAAACACAAAGACTTAAAATGTTGAAACATTTTCTCTCCAATTCTCCCTTCTGGCAAGGGAACCTGCAGATGGAGGGGAAAGGTGGAGAGATCCACGTCTCACATAAAGCCATCATCAGAGAATAATAACCCAGCTTAAAACATGCTCAGTACTACCCTCACAAGATCCTCACTACTCAGCCCTGAGTCTGCTCAGCTGACAAGTCAAACTCAAGGCTCCACAGCTGCCATTTGTTCTATAATATTTGTCCAGTTTGTTTGTTTTTTTAATGAGACAGTGAGAGAGCCCAGGGGAAGAGCGATAATGGGGGAGGGGGGGCTACTTTTGAAGAAGGGTAAGGGACACATGGGAGTTCATAACGCTAGTCTCTCTATATTTGTCTATGTTTGAATTTTCACAATAGGAATTCCACTTTTTTTTCTTTTTTAATTGAATGGAACACTGTTCTATTGCGGGTATTAACAACCAATCTGAAAAAAAATTAAAAAGTGAATACAAGCCCTAATGATGGCTGTTTGGAGGACTTTTCCTAACTTTGTGTAGAGTTGATAAAGGAAAACAAGGGCCACAAATGTGTGTGATCCCTACCCTCAGAGATTCTGAGTCTTTGGAATGGGGCTGGACCTAACAATGTGTATTTCTAACAAGCTCCCGGGTGATGTTGATGTGGCTGGTCTGAAGACCACATGTTGAGTAGCACCGCTTTGGAAAACAGAAAAACCATGAATGCTTGTGTCCTTCCTTGAGGACTTTAATAAGGGAGTAAAGAATTCTGCTTGCTCCACAGGGGGCAAGGAGGCCCTCTCCCACCACCTTCTGTCCTGCCCCTTTACACATCCCCTACTGCCCCTCCCTGGGACCATGAAACATTACCTTCTGCTGGATTCATTACCGCATCGTGGAGCAGGGTGGCCATACTCCCAGCTATCCCTGCAAAACAAACTCCATAAAATTACCCTCCGGAATCTGATCTTCCAAGGAAGTTTCTGGAGCCTAAAGCTGGATGGAACCTTGAACTTGGCTTTCTAAGAAGCAAAACTGACTACCAACTCCACCCAGTAAGCGTTGACTCAGGCGACACTGAAAGCAGTATGTGAAAATGGAGAACATTCACACAGGCAAGGAGACCCATGTTTTAATCTGGCCTGATGCTCAGGTTCTCTTTTGTAGTCAACGCCTGGGATATGGCTGGCGGTGGTGGTGGTGTGCCGTGGAGTCGGTTCCGACTCATAGCGACCCTGTACAGGGTTCCTGAGACCGTAAACCTTTACGGGAGCAGAAAGCCTCATCTTTCTCCTGCGGAATAGCTGGTAGTTTCGAACTGCTGACCTTGAGGTTCACAGTCCAATTTGTAACCACTATGCTACTAGAGCTCCTTGGGAAATGGTTAGACCGGTTTAAATTGCATGGCGTCCAAGCGCTCCCCCTTGTGGCTTTTTCTTTCTATCTAGCCTTTAATTCCTCCTCTTCCCTTGTCCTTGTCAGAATGAGATTCACTCACTCTGCTCTTACATAGGAGCAATCCAAGGGGTAATATCATGCCTAAGGCTGAGAAGGTAAAAGGGAATCAGATGGGAAATCTTTTAAGAAAAACTTCCTTAGTAAAATCCAATCACCTTTTAAGAAGATAGGCAAGGGGAGAGAAGTATCAAAGATTTGTAGCTGCATATAGCAAAATTTCCAAAGTAAGTTTGCAAAGATATGACTTGCCTTGGGAAATGACAGACCACATCTAGGGGTCTCATCTGGCTTCAAGAACCAGGAACGTTTAGAAGCCTGAAGCAGGCATGGGATTTGACTATTGGCTGACTACTGAAAGGTGGGAACATCATGAGGGACAACAGAGTGACACTTTAGGATGGTGCATGTCCCTCCCCAATCCACACACACTTAAAATTAACCTCAAGAAAGGGCAGAACCAAGTACAGCATACACCAAAATATTGCAGAACAGGCTCTGGCCTGGTAGAAACTGGGTTCTATCAAACCCCATTGAAGGGGTTCAGTGACCAAGGAGCCAAACTATTACATCAGGCAGTTTCACGAAAAGGAAATTGCTGCCCCTACCCCCAGCAGCAAGAAATGAACTCGGAGACTGCGTAAGAATATGGTTTGTAGTGACCCTCTCACTAAACACAATGAACGGTCAAACAAAATGCCTACAAACCAACCAGGCGCATTTATCGTTACTGAGGTTTGCTGATGAAAGGGGCGCTTTTTAGTTCTCTCTTAATGGAACAAAAAGAAAAGGGGAAAACTTGCTGCTAGTCACATCTACTGTTTTGAAAAGTAACTCTGTCAAATTAAGCACCCCTCATCCATAGTCCCATTCCAGACAAAGAGCAACAGAAGCCAAACCCACCCAAGAGGGAATAATAATCGCTCTTCCTGGCCCAGCAAAGCTTGCCTTATATAAGCGCTGTGCACAAACTCACACTGCCACCCTGCACCCCCCGCCCATCTCTCTCTCCCTCGCAATAACAAAATTTATTTCAGCCTTTGCTTGCAGATAGATGCCAACTCAGACAAACGCAAGAGAACGGAGGTAAAATTCCCAAATCCCCAGAAGCTTAAGGTGGGAAAGGTCGTCTGTGCTGGAGCAAATCCTTTGTCAGCCATAAAACTTCTTGACCTTTTAAAGCTTAGTTAGATCTTGACGTTGTAGAGACCTGTTGTACCAGTTTTTAAATAGTCTCAAAGAAGTTGTCCAGATAACTTTTTTTCTGAATCCAGCATTCAAAAGTTTTGTGTCTATTCAGGATTTTTTCTATGTCTGATCATTAATTGCTTTTGAGTGTTTTTTGTTTTTGTTTTGTTTTTCTCTTAAACAAAAAAAGAAAAAGAAAAAAAGAAACCCACACAATAACAAAAACTGAAACACCTCTGTCACCATTTCCCACAGGCTTCAGAGAGTGAAGGAGGGGAACGGAGAACAGTGCTTATGTGTGTGTGTGTGTGTGTGTGTGTGTGTATTTGGGTGGCTGCACACACACAAAACTAGAGTTCTTTATTCATAAGCAAGCCGAAGATGAGGTGTTAGGCTGCTGGGTCACAGGTAAGTGCTCCCTGGGGAAGGGTCTGTTGAAGAAGAGAGCTTTCTAACTCCAGACAAATGCTTTCAAAATACCATTGGCTAGGTGGCTGTTTCCTTGGTGGTGGAAAACATCATTTAAAGTCCTTTTCATGTTCTCATAGCAGGCAAAATACATGGCGTGGGCAGGCCCGGCGCCCATCACCATCACGTTGATGCCTCGCAATGGCCTCCAGAAGCCTTCAGTCCGAACAATTTTCTTGAGGGCTCCATATACACTTGTGTACTGGGCTTTGGGATCTGGCTGCAGACTCTGCATTCGCGTCTGGGGAACGAGAAGAAAATACAGCAGGGTTAATGAGGCCAGTAGAGAGGGCACGGAGGACCCAGAGAAAGGAACTGTGCAATTAGCACAGCTTTAAGGAATTCTGATGGCACAGTGGTTAAGCGCAGACTGCTAACCAAGAGGTTGGTGGTTTAAACCCACCAGTAACTCTGAGGAAGAAGGATGTAGCAATTTACTTCTGTAAAGATTAATGTTGTGTGCTATTGAGTCGGTTCCAACTCAGCGGCCCCGTATAGGGTTTCCAAGAGTGGCTGGTAGGTTTGAACTGTTGATCTAGTGGTCATCGTACATTGTCACAAGAAGATTACAGCCTTGGAAACCCTATAGGGAAGTTCTATTCTGCCCTGTGGGGTAGTTATAGAGTCAAAATTGACTTGACAACAATGGGTTTTTGTTTTGTTTTAAGAATTTCTTAATGAAGAAAACATAGCCATTCTATGACTTCTAGAGTATTACTCCCCATAAACACACCACACATTCGCAAAGCTCTCATTGGGGGCCGGGGGGGGGAAGGGCGGCAGGCTCTGGAGTAGGAAGACCTTGCTTTGCGATTTGCAAATTGTGTGGCCTCTGATGAATCTCCGGAGCTTCAACCTTTTAGCTGAAGGCCAGGGAGTGGGGGCTACAGGATGGTTGCAAGCTTCAAATGAATAATACACATGAAAACCCTTAGTCAATTCAGAGTCCTGGGGAAATATCAGTATTTTATTACTATGTGGTTCTCACTGCAGCCCCAAAGTCTTCTCCATCCTCACTATCTGAAACTTCCCATTCAGTCCTTACCATGAAATCACCCCAGAATCCTCCAGCCCTTCTTCCCTAATCACTTCTAAATACTTCTTTAACATTCTATCTTTACTAGTTAGCACTTACACTATAAACAGTCTTATTCTTAATATCTTCCTAGGTATATAATCTTGTCTCCTCAAGGGCAGTCACACACTTGACTAAGACAGACATATTTGCCAGGGAAAAATCAACCTGGCTCAGCCCTGCAGCAGCAACAGTATCCCCCACCCCCTTCACCTCTCCCTGCTCCCCAGCACACACACAGCTTGCTTGACAGGAACATCCCTTTCTTTCCAAATTAAATCCTGCAAATATTTTCCTTCTGCATAAAATACAACAGGTTACCATTGTTGTTAAATGCCGTGGAGTTGGTTCCGACTCATAACAACCCTGTATAGGATACCCGAGGAGTGGCTGGTGAGTTTGAACCACCGAGCTTGTAGTTCAGTGCTTATTCTACAGCGCCATACCAGGTATTCCCAATATATGATAGAGTCATCCGTTCAGAAGAGTCCTCCATAAGTGGGTTTGATGTAAATCACATCTTTTTTTTTTTTAAGTTTTCATTATTATTGCCTTCGACTATCCGTAGAAGGATTGTAGGAGCTCTGGTAGCATAGTGGTTACGAATCAGGCTGCTAACCTCAAGGTCGGCAGTTCGAAACTACCAGCTGTATCGCAGGAGAAAGATGAGGCGTTCTGCTCCCATAAAGATTTACAACCCTGTACAGGGTTGCTATGAGTCGGAACCGACTCCATGGCACACAGCCGCCGCCACCACCACTATCTGTACACATTCAGTCTTCATTTGTCTTTTGGGGGGATACATATACATTCATAGACACTATGCACTGCAACATTGTATGTAGGACACGTTAATGATAAAATGTACAAAAAACAAAGATAAAGGGCACTCGTAAGAACAGTTTGTGGCAAGTCAGGTCAGGGTCTACCTGTATATAACATAGAAGAAGGGCTTCTCTGAGTGACTAAGGGGCAAGAGTACTCTCTCACTCCCACTCTTTAAGGTAGGGGCTCCCCAAGGAACCTGAGGGCTCAGAGCAGCACTGTGAAAACCTGTCAATCAAATGAGTGGTAGCTCAACTTTCAGGTTTCACCAACTAGAACATAAAACCACAATGAAAATGGATACACCCCATTGTTAGCTTTTTATTTTGCCAAGACAGCACACAGAAACATCTAGTACAGCATACCTAAAAGAACATTATCTTAAGATAATGAGTTGCTTCGCCTGGGGGCTCAGAACCATAGTATCAGTGGACACCATGGTCAGTTGGCATAACATAACATAGCACACATAGACATTGTTCCACATCCTATTTTGCTGAGTAGGGAGTGGGATCTTAAAAGCTCATGAACAGACATCTAAGGTGCAACTATTGGTCTCTCTGTGTGCAGCAGAAAGGAAAGTGAAAAAAACTGAAAATACTTGGGAATCAACTAGTCCAACAGACCAAAGGAGCGGATGAACATCAGTGTCTGAGACCAGAAGAACTAGATGGCATCCAGCTACCACTACCAACTACTCTGAAATGGATCACATTACAAGGTCCCCAGAGAGTGGCAGAAAATATGGAATAAGTGGAATGGAACTCACCCCCTATGGTCCAATTTTTAGCCAAGCAGTACATAGGTAGATAGAGAGGACAACATCACTAGTGAGGTATGTTCACCATGGAATAGCCAATCTTTCAAAATCAAAAGGTCAAGTTGAGAAGGGATGGGGAGGAGGGTGGAATGGGAATAGGAACTACAGGGAGGAAGTGGGTTAACTATTTTTGCATGGAGGGGATGGTAATCGTTGAGATGAAACAAAGTGTATGATTTGCTGAATGTAAAACTGATGCTCTTCTCGGTAACCTTTACTCAATTCACAATAAAAAGCTATTTTTATTTCACACACTGGTGAAAATACCCCCACCAGGTACCAGGTCACAATGCTCTGAGTGAATGTCTACTGAGAAGGCCCCTGCACTTTAAAACAACAAACATGTAAACCTTCACACAATTCAAAACAAAAAAAAAGTTACAAATAAAATTAAAGGTCTTTAGAAAACAAAACAAAAATGGATTTCTCTTCTCAAAAAGAATTTGAAGCAGGTTTACAACAAAAGATAATTATAAGCAAACAAGACCACAAAGGAAGAAGGAGGAAATGAATGGGCCAATCGAGAAGGCATCTGAATCCCTGTCTCAAAAACTCCACTTTGCTCCTCAGCAAGCCAATGGCCAGCCCAAAAGAAGTATGCGAAAAGCAAAGCACTTGTTTTAGGAAAGAGACAAAACTGTGTCTTCAGGTAAAGCAGAGGTTCTCTAGCACTCAATTCTACACGATGTTTCCAACTGCTCAAGTTTTAGAGCAGATACAGTTTCATATTTCACCGTTTTCCTTATAACTGCCCAAATCAAGGCAAGGGCATAGTACACGACAAAATACAATACGGTGTTCCCAGAATTCAGGCTCAGATTTCACTGATAGTGTGACCCCTGGACAAGTTAGTTTCTCTAAGCTTTAGTTTCCTTACTTGAGAAAGTGACTGAGAAAGTTAAAATGAAATAATGCATGTCTATTACTCAGTTTGAACCTCAAGGGCAGTGGTTCAAGCTCACCAGCCATTCCTTGGGAACCCTACACAGGGCTGCTATGGGTCTGAACCGACCCATAGCATTTAATAACAACAGCAGCATTACTATCAATGAAGAGTCCTGGTGTGGCACTGTGGACTAATGCACTGGACCGCAAAATTGGTTTAAATCACAAGGTCAGTGGTTCAAGCTCACCAGCTGCTCCTTGAAAACCATATACAGGGTCGCTATACGTTGGAACTGACTCATGGCACTTAACAGCATTACTATCAATAAGGAGCCTTAGTAGTGCTCAGCAGCTAATGGAAAAGTTGAGGGTTCAAACCCACCAGTCACTCTTTTGGAGGATGATATGACAGTCTGTTTCCATAAAGATTAGTCTTAAAAACCATATGGAGCAGTTCTACTCTATCTTATAGGATCTTTATGAGTTGGAATCAACTTGGCAGCAACAAGGGTTTTTTTGTTATTAATATTAATAATAATGTTATTAATGTTAATAATAATAATAATCAAGAGGCTTGCTGTTGTTAGATGCCATCAAGCCAGTGTCGACTCACAGCAACACTATGCACATCATAACGAAACACTGTCCAGGCCTGCGCCAACCTCACAACTGTTGCCACACCTGAGCCCATTGCAGTTGCCACTGTGCCAATCCATCTAGTTGGTGGTCTTCCTGTTTTTTTCTGACCCTCCACTTTACCAAACACGATATCCTCCTCCAGGGACTGGTCCCTCCACACAATCAGTCCGAAGACGATGTGTTTCCAAGGAGCACTCTAGCTGTACTTCTTACAACACAGATCAGTTTGTTCTTTTGGGAGTTCATGGTACTTTTTAACATTCTCCTCCAACAAAATAACTTAAATGCATCAATTCTTCTACGGTCTTCCTTATTCACCATCCAACTTTCACATGCATGCAGTTAATCTATACTTATGGATATGTTTCGCATCGATGAACTTAACCTATACTTATGGATATGCTGTTTTTGTTATGTGCCGTGGTATCCTCAAATTGACATCTTTGTTCTTCAACACTTTAAAGAGGTCTTGTACAGCAGATTTGCATAATGCAATATGTCATTTAATTTCTTGACTGCTGCTTCCATGAGTGTTGATGATTGAGCTGAGAAAAATGACGTCTTTGACATCTTCAGTCTTTTCTCTGTTTATGTGGACATTGTTTATTAGTCCAGTGGTGAGCAGTTTTGTCTTTACATTGAGATACAATCTGTACCGAAAGTTGTGGCCTTTGATCTTCATCAGTAAGCATTTTAAGTCCTCTTCACTTTCAACAAGCAAGGTTGCATCATCTGCATGTTGCATACAGATTGAATAAGTATGGTGAAAGAATACAACCCTGATGCACACCTTTGCTAATTTTAAACCATTCAGTGTTCCCTTGTTCTGTTGGAACAACTGCCTCTTGGTCTATGTACAGGATCTTCATGAGCCCAAGTAAGTATTCCAGATTACTCATTGTCTGCAATGTTGTCCATAGCTTGTCATGATGCACACAATCAAAAGCCTTTGCACAGTCAATAAAGCACAGGTAAACATCTTTCTAATATTCTCTGC